AATAATAATAAGGTAATAATTTAATAATAATAATAATAATATGGTAATAATATAATAATTATTATAATAATATAATAATAATAATAATAAATAATATAATAATAATAATAATAATAATAATAATAATGTAATAATAATAATATGGTGATAATATAATAATAATATGTTAATAATATAATAATAATAATAATATGTTAATAATATAATGATAATAATAATATGGTGATAATATAATAATAATTATAATAATAATATGGTAATAATAATATGGTGATAATATAATAATAATTATAATATGTTAATAATATAATTATAATATGGTAATAATAATATGTTAATAATATAATGATAATATAATAATAATAATAATAATTTGATAATATAATAATAATAATATTAATAATATAATAAAAATATGGTGATAATATAATAATAATAATAATACTAATATGTTAATAATGTAATAATAATATGGTAATAATATGGTAATAATATGGTAATAATATAATAACAATAATAATAATAATAATAATAATAATATGTTGATAATAATATGGTAATAATAATAATAATATGTTGATAATAATAATAATAGTAATAATATGAATGCTTGCTAATTCCACAACAGAAGGTAAAGTAGGCCTATTTGTTCACAGATGAATTGAGTCTAGAAAATTGAATGAAATACATACTTACCTGTCTGTAACTTCTGCCAGCTTTCCGTGAACTCTGAAGTTGTACAGACAGGTGTAGTCGGGGTGACCCCAGTTGCTCTCAACTTGTAGTTTCACGTATTTGAAGACACCTGTTCCATGATCCTAAGAGATGTGAGAAAAGAGCAGAAACAGTTTGTTGAGCAAAAACTGACAGTATGGGAAACAAATTATTTAATGACAGAGCTTTCACTCCTTTAATATTTCAGCTTGTGTGTGAAAAACATGAATGTGCATGTGTGTATTGCATAGTGTAATACTCACAGGTAGCTCAAAAGTTTGTGTTGCGTCCCCGTCCTGATCAAACAGAGAGGTTCCTAGATAGGTTTCTTTGTCATCTAAAGTATTCATGCCCTGCAAGAGAGGAAGATAGAGACACAGTTGAACACCTTGTTGTTCCCACTTAACTGAACATCTGTAATGTAACAATGATACATTTGTGACTTACATAGACAGAAAATGTCTTTGGGGCGCTAGGAATGGTGCCAGTTGGGGACAAGTTCTTTGAAACGTGACCTAGTGTCACATGGCTGATGTAGACTGGGTGTGACAGGGCAATGAATAAATGCCCCCGCCCACCTTCAAAGGGCCAGCAGTGTCCTACAGCTAGGGGTGAGCCTCCCTGAGTGAAGAAAGAGTATAAAAATAGAGTTGAGATAGGTTGCTTAAAAATACCAAACCTTTATATCATTTGCCATTTGTTTTGGTGTGTGTAGTTCCTACCTGAAGGACTATCCTTGGGTGTACAGGTCGTTTACAAAAAATTCCAAAAAGATAGGCGCAGCCTCCTTGTTTGGAGTACGTTTGTGAAGACCGATCAAGTAAAACTCTTGCCTCTGCACAGAACAAACACACGCACAAAGAGAGTGAGATACAATCGTTCTCAAGGTTAAAAATATTTTTGGATATTACAATCTAACAGATGAAAATGATAAATATGATTTGAATGTCTTACCTTGACGCTCCAGAGCGAAGTTGGGCATAGTGTCCGCCACCGGTTGCAGGGAGTTCAGGACTTTGTTTAATCTGAGAATCTCTTCACTTAATATGTTTACTCTCTTGTTTACTGAAGGATCGAGGGAAACAAAGCATAAAAGAAAGTTTTTTTCACGATTTTCAAAAGATAGAAAATATGAAAGTGTTTAAGAAGCTGTCAATGTTCCTGTTGCTAATTGTGTTGCTGTCACTGTCACTAGTTTGTTTGCTGATGAAAATGACACATATGATTTGAATGTCTTACCTTGACTCCCCAGAGCAAAGTTGTGCATAGTGTCCGCCACCAGTTGCAGGGAGTTCAGGACTTTGTTTATCCTGAGAATCTCTTCACTTAATGTGTTTACTAAAGGATGGAGGGAAACAAAGCAAAAAGTGACCGTTTTTTTTTTTTCACGATTTTCAAAAGATAGACAATATGAAAGTGTTTCAGAAGCTGTCAATGTTTCTGTTGCTAATTGTGTTGTTGTCACTGACACTAGTTTGTTTGCTAATGAAAATGATAAATATGATTTTAATGTCTTACCTTGACTCAGCAGAGCGAAGTTGGGCATTGTTTCTTTGTTTATCCTGAGAATCTCTTCCCTGCATGTGTTTACTAAAGGATGGAGGGAAACAAAGCATAAAATAAACCGTTTTTTTTTCACGATTTTCAAAAGACAATATGAAAGTGTTTAAGAAGCTGTCAATGTTTCTATTGCAAATTGTGTTGCTGTCACTGACACTAGTTTGTTTGCTAATTAAAATGATAAATATGATTTAAATGTCTTACCTTGACTCTCGTAGTTGGTCATTGTCTCTTTGTTTAATTTCTTTAAGAGAAACTCTTCTCTGCATGCAAATCCTAGTAGACGGAGAGAAACAAAGAATAGAAGAAACAGGTCAGAGACATTTGTTTTTCAAAAGACAGAAAATATAAAAGTAAAAAGCTGAGGAACTAAAGTTGTTTGTTACACTTACCAAAACACAGGACGATTATGCAGAGGAGTATGTAAAAAACCTTTTGGTTGAATATAGTGGAGAACCTGCTGTTTCTGTGTCTGTTACTACTTGTGTTGTTGACATCGTTTCTGTAGGAGTCGCTCATTTCGTTGCTGTTGCTTGGTCTGTTAGTATTGCTTTCGCTGTCATAGTCACTAATTTGCTTGCTGTCTTTGTAACTCTTTATGTTCTTGTCCATGTTTGTTATTATGTTATTATTTATGTTTCTGGTGCTGGTTTTGTGTCTTTCTAGGTGGCTTGTGGACTCTGCTCTACTATGGCATGAAGAGGTCCTCGAACATCTGCTGTTAAAAACCCTGAATGTAATTTAAATTTAAAAAAAGTTAAAGGTCTGAAGATAATGAAAATTGTAGACTGTGTTACAGTAAATACATACAGTACATGACATGTGCACATGTACAAGCATGTCTGCTTCACCCACCCACACACACGCACGCACGCACTCACACAAACCATAGCTTACCTGTTCAGGTGTTCCTTGTAGCAAATGATTGGTAGTCCTTCTTTGTCGTAGTATCCTTGGGAGTCTAATCGTTTGCTTCTCCGTGGCATGACTGTAAACCAAACAAAAGAGCTTTTACTACTGTAAACAACTTCTCCAAATATTGTAGTTGCCCTTGGTTTAAGTTAACACCACTGTTAAAATACTATTAGCTGTAAATGTGCTTTTTCAAAGGTTACAATGATAGAAAATAACACAATATCTAAACAGGATGAAAAGCTGCTTCTACGGAAAAGCTATAATATATTAATTTACTTATTTTGAACCTTTAAACTATTTAGTATGGTAAAAATGTTGCCCACTCAGGGGGAAGTCACATAAATATGGTCTGGCCTTTGTAAACTAATAAGCAATGACTTACCTACTGTTTGATGAAGAAGTCTGTCTGTAAATGTAGTCGGAGATAAATGAATATCTATCTATATATCTAGGATTTAATATAACTTGCTGTGCTGCTCGGGCCTCTCTGCTGCCTGTTGAGGGTTAAGAAGATGAAATGGAACTTCACTTTCCTTCCAGAACCCTAGAATTACCTTTGGTCTTGTCGAATTCAAATACGTCACAATTAACTAGAACTCTACGTCATTCGCACACGTGACTGTGCGTGTGATTGCCGGTGCGCACACACATTCCATTATGAATCACGTGATTTGTTAAGGCAAATTCAAAGAGCTTTAAATAAAGGCATATGAAAACATTGAAACACCAACTATCTACACCATAAATGACTAAATAAAATCAAGTAGATTCTTTAAAACTATGGAAACAATAAATTAATATGAATTTAATAACGAAATTACACGTGTAGCAGCTCACTCCTGTCAGTGGAGCGCTGCTGCCCCCATGTGTTTAATGGGAGGTGTTGCACCCAGAAGGCTGTCTGAAGGCATTGGTACAAAAATACTCATTGATCATAACAGTGTGTGAAGAAAGACCATTACTTTTTATTTGCACATCGTAATAATGGGATAAACTAACTTTCCTGCGATGTTATTTGTGATAATGTGTTTTTAGTGACATTGCCATGAACAATTGTTTGAAAAATGTATTCTGATATGTTTGGCTGATAAGCACATACAGCTTGCACTACCTCTCTTAACAAGAAGTGAGAGGTTTTATAAACATTTTTGTGACCACATTTCTTAGTTTTACCATTTGCCTTCCTTTGACATTCATCTTAAGAAACACCACATATGAAAAATCAGCACAGCATGTCCACAATCAAATTATATAAAAATAAATACATTTACATTTGAAAAGAAACAATTGCTCATATCAAAGTCAAGACTTTCAAATGAAATTCTACCCCCATCTGTTGTGAGTTTTAACCAAATTGTGATTTTTTTTGTGATTGTCAGAAAAAGCACCGCCACATTGGCCTGTTAGTAATAGTAATGAAAGCCCAATATGACTATAGCTATTAATGCAAAGACACTTCCTTTGGCCTGACCTGTGAAAAAAAAAAAATCTGGGCAAAACGGTACAAGCTTAGCTGTCAGCATTACTCTCTACATGCTGAAGTTGCCTCCAGTAATATGCTGGTTGGCTACAGCAGGAAGCCATGCCTTGGGATGTACATGGTTATTCTCCCTGTTGTTCAGTCACTGCGTTTCGCATAAACACCTTTGAGGGGAAAGTGCCTCCAGCATATCCATCAGTCTGCACTGGCCCACCAGGGAAGGACCTGCCAGCATCCAGGCATCTCGCCACAAAAAAAGGTATACTACATTGAAATTCAACACAGAGAGCTGCTGCTGAGACCTTGATGAACTGGGGGATGCTGCTGTTATACTGTATGTGTATTTTGAGACATTCACAGAAAAGTCTAACTGCTTCTTTGCTGTCCTTGTCCTGTTTCTCAGTGAATAGAGGAGGGCAGCACCGTATAGATATTATAGGGCCCTGGAGGAGGGGAAATGCTGATTTACAGGAAGGTCTTTCCAAATGTCTCATTCATTTTTCAGCGCTGGCACACTGCTGTTGCCAGAATCATAAATAAAGTATACTTAGGGACTCTCCTCAAGCTCAATTGAAAACAGATATGAATGATTTATAGATGAAGTTAAACTATGAGCTGTAACTGTTGGGCCTTGGACCCGCACACCCCTTTTCCTTATTGATACATCACTTACTGCAACAGGCTGTAGAAGCATGCACGAATTAGCGACACGAAGGTCAAAGATTTCTGCCCAAATTGGGCTCAACCTTACAGTCAAAACACCCATGTGTGCCACACAGAGACCAACTGTCGGGTAGGGGAAACAGTTTTTTCTTGCTCTCAGCTACCATCCTGTTGACACAGATTGCCATGAAAAAAAGCGAGTTAATGGTGAAGTTGATTTTCAAGTTGACACGGACACACATGTGCATACAGTACATGTTGCTATGCATGGCAATTGAAATTAGATTATGTAAGCAGGTTTGGGAGTTTTCTGCTCTAGTGAATCTCGTGGTATGTAAGCACATCCTGAAGCACAGCTTATTGATCTGTGTGAGCAGGACATTGACTGGTGCTGGATAGTCAATGTTTGTAATAGGGATGGATAGCTTTCACACGTATGTGTGGAGGGATACATGTGTGTTTAGATCCTACATAGGTTGAGGACATAGAGTATTGAATATGCATGATTGTGTGTGGTGAGTGAAAGACCATTTATGTTAGAAAAGTGTGCTTTTAAAATGTATTGCTGTGCTATGCTGTGATATAAGGCTTCAGTAAGAGGGGGCCGAAGACAAATACAGAAAGATAACGAAGCACACATCTTTTTCAGTGTAGCCTGTTATTTTCTAAAGAATAACATAAATACAATTGCTTTATCAAATAAAAGCCTTAACTTTCTTAAAGTGGATTTGCTTTATTCCAATTGTAACCAAAAGACAGTTTTCTCTTTCAAAAATATTCTTTTAATCACAGGCAAACAAAAAACAGGGTTGTGAGAACCTTTTGCAGATGTATCAGGACTTATACAAGATGTCAAGCTTGCAGGGGGAATGCAAAAAAGGCTGAATCACATATTTAAACATTGACTGTGCTGAATTTCTCTTACTGTATTCATTCTGCATGACCTGACCTAGAAGTGCATCTGAATTGCAATTCTAATCCCATCAAGTTGGGACAGAGTGCTTTCTGTCAGTGCAGGTATAACTTTGAGTCATAAAGATGAGACACGGCTTGTCTCTGACTTCATTATGTGCAACAGGAGTTTGGCAGCGGTGCTAACACAAACCAATTTGCATGTGTAACTCTGAAAAAGTGGACTGACTCCATATCTTGCCACACTAAATCTCTCACAGAGTTACACCCAGGAATGTGCTGCCAATCAGAAACAGAATTGACCATCCCTGTGAATAAGTGGTAAATACATTTGTATAAAGCTAAAACTTTCCTGGTCTGAGCTCTCCGAAGTGCTTCTCTTATTCTTGTAATAAATTGTGATGAAATAAAGGTTATGCCTGCAGTCAAGACATTTAAACTCTCCCCTGATGGGACAGGTAATAGTAAGCAAT